TTTATTTAAAATTTATATTTAAAAAATTAAAAAGTCAAATTAAAATTATTAAAAATAAACAAAGAAAGTATTTTGTAATTTAAATTACTAAACACTCAACTCTTATAGAAAATCAACAAGTCTTGATAATTAAAATTTTAAAATTTATCATATAAAAATTTAAATACTATCAATAAATAAACAAGTAAGAATTTATTAATAATATTTAAATAATTTTGGTAAGTGGGATAATTTAATTAAACAATATAATATTTTTTACTTTTTATATAATAATTATATTTTTCTTTTTTATTAGTTTAATATTGCTAAAAGATCCTAAGCCCTGTAAAATGGGACCTTGTCATCCCTGTACCTTAAAAAAATCATAAATATCTCTTAACTTAGAGAAAAGGCCAAGCATCAATCCCTCTTATTCATGGACGTCATGACCCATCCATTTGCTCAATGTTGTCAAAATCTACATAAAAATGTCTTGGTTAGGTAAATATTTTTATCAAATTAAAATTTAAAAAAATTCTTTATGTGTGAAAAATTTAAAAACTTATTCTCTCTATTCTAAAATTATAAACATTTTTGAATTATCTTAAATTAAGAATTTAGAAATAATTTCTATTATTATATATTTTACCCTTAAAAAAAATAAAAAAAAAATCTTTTTCATGATAGGAAGGATTTTTAAAATTAAGATATAATCATAAAATTAAAGTAGGAAAAAATATTTATCTCCCTTAAAATATTAAAAAACCACTATTACTCTAAGAAAATTTCTAAACAAAAAAATACCTATTATTTTTGGAATGGAATGAGTACATTCTAATTTTACTCTATTCGTTCTGAAATAATTATCATTTTATAATTTTAAATTTATCTTAAATTAATTTTTATTTTTTTATTTTTAAAATAGACAAATACATTTTTTTACTTTATCCTTATCATCATATGTTTACTTTAATTTATCATCACATCATAAAAAGTCTCTCATTATCTTTTATTTCTTTTTAAAAGTAATATAAATAAACATAAATTATCCTTAAATTTTTAATTTAAAAAAATAAAAAAGTGAAAGTTATTTTGAGAAAGAGGGAGTATAATAAAAATTAATTTTTTTGAACTAAATAAAAAAGAAATGATATAATTTTATTCTAATAATGACAATGATGATTGTTTTAGTTGTTAATCAAAATTAAAACATATGGATTTATTAAAAAATTAACAATAAAAAGAATAAAAAAAAATCTCATTGAAAAGTGGGGACATTGTTAAGATGAACAAATAGCCAAAAAACAAAAGAAGAGGAAGTATAATTTTTCAAAACAGCATATACCACATAAGCATGCCATGAGGTTCCGGTGAAAGAAACTAATAGAAATATATTAGATAAATAAATTTGAAATAATTTTCAAAATTTATAGATGAACATGAGAAAAGCTAGATTTTTTAAATTAAAATGATAAGTAAATAATAGTTAATAAATGAAAAATTAAATTTTATCATAAATTTATTTTTTTTAATTTAAGGTAAAATCGTCTCTACCATCTAATTTTAAATGTGAATTTAGGCAATTTACCTTTTTCCATGAAGGAGATTACATTTTGTTTCCATATTGTAATTAGAGGTGTGCTCCATTTTCTCCAATACGGTTAGTACTTCTGCTCTGGCGGGAGAAAATAGTTGCCATTTCTAGGCCTTTGACTCTAGACCAGTGCTAGGGGCACTCGCCTCTTGCACTCTCGGGCCAATACTTCCCCTTTCATTGGGCCACGTAAGCTTGTTTGAGTTGAACTGCAACCTCTCCGAAAACAAAATAACGTGGCCCAATAAAAGGGAAAGTGTTGGC